TATTCTTCTAAATGATCTTAATATTCATATTTATATAGACAATCTTTCTACTATACAATCTCTAAAAAAATTATTACTATTTAATACTTCAAATACCTAAATTAAAAATAAAAACTGAGATATTCTTTATATTATAAACTATCTAATTAAAAATAAAAATATTATACTCTCACTTCACAAAATTAAATTCTACTCTAAAAATTCTCTTTATCAAAATACTAATCTCTTAGCAAAAAGAAGTACAAACCAACAACCTATTATACTAAATCTTAACTCTTTTAACTTTCTAATTTTCTTCTCTTGACATAAACTTCTTATCCCTACACAAATAAAAAAATTCTGCAAAAATTTTATTCTTACTAAAATTACTAACTGCTTTTTATAATCTCAAAATATTAACAATATTTCTAAATTCAATATATCTCTTTTTTAATATTATTAACTCCCAAAATCTTAATTCATATCTCTATTCTTTTTATATAAAAATTTTATTTAATAATTTTTCTATAGTAGCTAACTTAAATCTTCAATTACTATTCATATATCTTATTCCAAATTATGTCTGTTGCAACTTACTTGAAAATTTACAACATCTTCTTCAATACTTACAAACTCCAAACTACTTACAAATTATATTACAAACTATTTTCTAAACTTTGTTACAACTAAATATTAATAATATAACTTCATAAAACTTCTACTAAATTATTCTTCTGCAAAATAACAATTCTTCTTATACCAACCACATACTATATCTAATTCAAGAAACTTTCTCTATAAATATTACTACTTAACTATACTCCTTTCTACATAAAAAAACTATTTCCCTTTATACTATATTTTCAAATCTTTTTCTCAAATAGTTCAATTAAAAAATCTAGTAACCAAGAAACAAATACTAACATAACTAGAAAAGTCTAAGAAATATTACTAACAGATCTAAACGAACAAGAATAATTTATTTTTCAAATATTATAAATACTTCAATATATTATCAAAACTTAACTTCTATTATTAATAGTAATATTAATACAAATATACATAAATAGTTCATTTAAAATATTTCAATACTTTCTATATTTAACTAACTATAATTACTAAACTCAAGGTTTCCTTTCTTCTTCTGCTTTAACTAGTAGTAGCTTTGTCTTAACTTAACTTAACTATACTTGAAGATATTTGATAATATTTGAAGACATTTGATAATATTTGATGACGTTTGAAGATGTTTGAAGATGTTTGAAGATGTTTAACTATATTTGAAGATGTTTAACTATGTTTAAGGATGTTTAGAAAAAAGATATAAAAACTCTGCCTTTTTCTCTTTCTGTTAAAGTTAAATTTGTCCTCTACAATCTCCTTAATATTAGAATTCTCTTAGCACAAATACTAATAGATAGTCTTGTATTATTAATATTATATTGTAAATAAAGAATACTCTTTGCTTTAATATAATCTTTCTAACAAATCATCTTTGCGAAGTAATATCCTGCTTTGATACTGTTGAGAGTTTTTCTTCCAGGTTTTATGTTACTTGTGATATACTAAGAAGGCTATATCACTTGTAACAACATGAAGAGTGTACTACAAGCTACATATATAATATTAGTTATTGTCTATTTTAAGTAGTCTACTGTACAGGTAATTAGACTACCTGATTGGTTCTACACTATGTTGCTATATCTGTAACCCACCTGTGAGTTATCTATTTAAATACTCTGTTCATTAACCCATACAGATCCAACCTATCATTACTATAATATCTAACTGCTTAAGCCAGCTAGCTTGTTACGAATTTATTTATTCAGAATAGCTTAGATCTTCTCAGAATATATTATACCTAATACATTATAGATATTGCAGAGCCAGTTAATCTTGAAGTATATCTATTAGAGTGGTCTATATCTATTTTATGAATTTATCTAGTTTAGACTCTTGTAGATATTTGTACAACCCTAGTTCTTACTGTAGCTCTCTACTAGTTTTCTGTATTCTATCTTCTCAAATATTTTACAAGATAGTTCCTCCTAATCTAGTTAACTGCTAAGCCAAGTTGGTATTACTGATCCTCTCTGTAGAACAGATTTATGTGTATCTAACTCGATCTGCATTTTTTGACAATAGTTTCTTTTCTGAATCAAGCATTAGCTAGTATGACTATAAAAAACCTACTACTTCACTAACTCAGGATTTCTACTATGCAGATCTCCTGCTTGTAGATCCTATTAAAATTTATTTGTATAATGTTATGTCTCACTGAATACCTCATTATACTTCCAATATTCAGATAATATTGATGTAATATGATTTATAGGATTACAACCCCAGAAACAAACAGAGTTTACTATAAGTTGAATACAAAGGTCTGAGTAATTATTCAAATTCGTTGACAGTGGGATTTGAACTCCAGATCTCTTATATAGCAGTTTGGTAATCTAACTACTACACTAAGATTGCCAGACTATAATTACTAACTTTTTATATACAAGTATTATTAATTTTATTATAAAAATTACTAATTTTTTATATAATAAACTAATTTAAATAAGTAAATTTTTTTTATTAAAATTTTTTTTTATATAATAATTATAGTTAAAATTTTGCAGGTTTATATAATAAAATTATACTAAAATACTTGCATAGTATTAAAAAAAAAACTTAATTGTGATTGGTTAATTTATAAATACATATATCAAAAAATTGCAATTTTTTAATTTTTTTTTTAAAAAAATTAACGAACTTATAAATTTTTTTTAACAATATGTAATCAAAAATTATTTGAAATTTTTTTTTTATAAATATGTTTTATAAATCTTTAAATATTAAATATATTTATTTAATTGCAAGTAAATATATAAAATTTTGTGTAATTATATTTTAATTTAAATGTATCAGGTTGATATATCATGTATTTTTTTATTTTATTATTATAGTCTTTTATTATTTTGGTATATAGTTATTTATTAGTAATTTGTCCTGCTCATACCCTTGTTTATGTTTAAGAACCATAGTAGCTACATCCATAAACATTAGGATAAGCAGTTGAGACAAGAGTAAAACATTAACATGAGCAGTTGAGGCAAGAGTAAAACATTAACATGAGCAGTTGAGACAAGAGTAAAACATTAACATGAGCAGTTGGGGCTAAAGCGTATAATCGAATAAGCCATAGATTAGTAATGTGAGCAGTGTGGCTTCGTATTACATTAAGATGGCTTAAACTTAAGCGAAGCAACTGCTCACGAAGGAATAAACAACTGCTCATAAGAATATGAGCAATTTAATCATGTATAGAATTTACTTAGAGTAGCCTTCTCAAACCAAATTGTATAAATATAGGTTCTTTTCGCCTTTCCAAAAAGACCAGTTACGACTAAAGTTATCTATTAAACAATTAATAAATAAATCACTATTACCTTAAAAAATTCTGAACCTTTAAGTTCTCAAAAATATAAAAACTTCGCTAATTAAATAATCGATTCCTCACTACGTTTGTTGATTAAAGTATATGCTATGTCTCTTGATTAACATAAAGGAAGTAAGCATCGAGGCTGAATAGACCTTTCCCTGAATAATATTATTATTGACTTGTAGTATTATTCCAACATAGTATTGAATAATTATTAGGACGAATAATTAAGTAGATAGTACGTATTAGTATAGTGATCAACGATTAGATCACTTTTAAGTTATTAGATTTATTATAGTACATTTGAGTGCTCGAGAGGGAAAATCATAAGTAAAAATTAACACATGAAAATTGTTATACTAGTAGTATAACAATTTTCATGTGATAATTTTTACTTATTGATTTTCCCTCTCGAGCACTCATTTAATAGTAATACCACCCTTGCTTAGATCCTTATACTCCCGAACCACCCTTAAATTATCACCCCCTTCCGATTGACCTATCTATAAATAAGTTATAGAACCCCGTCGCTATTACTTAATTAGATTATTAAACCCAGTACCAGTTAACTATTGGAACTAAACCGTGCAATGTTACCCGCTCTCCCAATTTACAATAGTAACAGTACGTACTGTACTGTACGTATTATGCATTTTTATAAGCGGTTTCATTAAAGAAAGAATTGACCAATCAAATACAATTATTGATTATGCAGTTTTAAAAAACGGTTTCATAAACGTTTCATAAACAATTTATAGTCAAGAAATGCAATTGACCAATCAAATAAAAATTATACAATTCAATTTTAACTATTACACATGCAATAAACGTAAATAATTGGACTAAATTTGATGAAATATTACCATTTAAAATCTGCGATATATATAGTAAATACATAATCTTGCACCGGGTTGCAAGATCTAGATTTACCAAAAAATATAATATTTCAAAAAATAATAAAATAGAAAACAAAAACTAAATGAGAGATCGATTCTTAAATACTGTATATAGAGGCAGTCGAAATCATATTTATTAAGGTTTTCATTCATTCGAATCTCTTTTATAGATAATTCGAAAGTAGAGATTTACATCGAAATTTACTTTTACGTACAATAACGATACAGTTTTTTAAACTTAGTACGAATCAGTACGAATCTTAAATAGGAAACCCATTTGAGGTGATATCGACCTAGTTACATAAAGATGAAAACAGACAAAAAAAAAAAAAAAGACGCCTAAATTTTGCCAAAGTAATCCCGAAAGATCATTCCAAAGAGTCATAAATGCGAAATAAAATAAAAAATCTAGACAGTTTATAATCTGAATCAATAAAATCTAGACAGTTTATAAAAATTCCTAATTGTAAAGTAACTTTCGGGATTAATTAGACCTGCAGGATTTTCTTGGGCTCTCGGACTTAAACATTAATAACTCCAGCATAATGATAAAATTAGATAATTAGTGTAACTTGTAGCATTATTGATCACCTGAAGATAAAATTTTAATCTTTAAAAGGAATTTTATAGCTCCTGAATCTGTAAACACCCTTTTAACTGTATCGTAAAAAAATAGCGGTGAACGCATTACAATTATGAACAATCCTCGAAGTCCTAAAATTAATAATACTACGAATGTAGTAGTAGTAGACCATGAAATTAATAATACTACGAATGTAGTAGTAGTAGACCATGAAATTAATAAGTCACAAAATAGTACAAATGTAGTAGTAGTAGACCATGAAAAATCGGAAGACTATTGTACTTCATTATGGTCAAATGTTAGAGAACCTCAAGGATGGTCTAGTCTAGCTTATTTTATTTTTATTTCGCCAATCTTTTCGTTATTTTGTGCAGTATGGGTTTGGCTCACATTTGCTATATCAATTCCCACTTTAATTTTCCCACCCTTTGGATTTTTTTGGTGTATATGGACTGCTTGGAGCTGGAGGTATTTAATTTATCTTTGTAAATGTATCATTCGAATGGATATGAATTTTTTTAGTTGATTTTAAATACAACGTCTTTACAGAGCACTCGGAAGAGTAGAAATATTAACGACAAGAATGTGTATAAACCATGATGACATCAATAAAGAAGATAAATTACCACAGATCCTTAGAGTGTCAAACGAGAAAGTTGGACGAATAAAATTTGCTGTCTTATTATGTTCTGATAAATATACTTGGCTATGTTTTATCTATTTTGCAATAGTTAAACCTCTCATGATGGGTATATTTTTTGTTTCCACATGTTTATTGATTGGTTGTGCATTTCCACCATTTACATTACTTGGACTACCCTTTATGTGCATTGGTTGTAAAAGAATGGGTGAATTACAGTTTAATATTACTAGAACATTATTGATTGTGAAATAATATGATTAGAAGTAACTGCAGTAATAATAAAAATCACTTTAATATTTTCTTTGTACCAACTATTTAACTTATTAATAAATATTATTGTTGCCAAAGATTGAAAAATTTTAAATAAACATTGCTGGTTCTTCCACCGAAAGAAAACATTCTTTAAAGATTTCAAGATAAGGGAAGTGTCTTGTATGACAGTTAATTTGAAAAGTCTTGAATCCGATAATATTAAGAAATTATTGAAGATTTAGGCATCTTGAAATATAATCTGAGTAAGATATACTGTAATAACTAGAGATGTAGAGTTGTGTTACAAAAATTACAATCTTAAATTACTTGTAATTTTACTTAAGTTTCAGTAAATCGAATTACACGTAAGTTTGGTCACATGATATAAAGTACTAGGATTACATTTGGCCTAGTTTTATTCACTAGATTTATTTGAATATCTAAGACATCCGTTACAATATCGTTATATTTAAATATGAAGCATGTAACGAATTGCTATACTATACGTTTATTTAAATAATTTCATTTACACGATATGAAGATTTTGCAAACATATTAATTTTGTTTCGCGATTATTTTTACTCTGTGATTCCAATTCATTTTGATCATGATTATTATTATCTGATGTTGATTGTTTTCATTTCTTATTACCATTTGAAGCTTCATTTATTGCTGAATTTCGCAAAGAACATATATCCAAATGCTCCTGTAATCTTGTTGCATTTTTTGCCACTTCCTTACATGCTTTGCATTTGTAACGTTCTTTTCTCTTTTCATCTATCCGCATAGCATATTAATCCCACATTTCACCTTTTTTTTTTTTTTTTTTAACCATTTTTAGTGCAGTAGTATGTTATAAAATTTTTAGGTTCGATTTTACTTTATTTTATATTTTATGCTTTATATGACAAAAATAATTAAGCGTATCGACATCATGTGATCAAAATTACGACAATTTCAGTAAGGGAATTGCTACCGCCAGGTCTACGGTAGGGTGTCCAGGATTATGATCCAGCATATTATGCGCATAATTTGCAATTTTTCTATAAGAAATCGCATAATTTGCTCACTTTCATGCACCTTCATGCAAAAATTGATTGTTAAAATAAATAAACCGGTTTGTAAATGTGACAGTGATCACCTGACTTGTCGTGTTTTTTGAATTTTATTGGCTAATAACTCAAAAATCGCATAATTCGCATAATTTGCAATTTACCGGATGCATAATTTGGCATTTACCGGATCATAATCCTGGACACCCTAGTCTACGGACGCGTACCGGTCACGTGATTTTTGCACATACCCGATAATCACGTGACAGAACGTACGAAAAACGATTGTCATTAAATTTTTCCAAACTTTGAATGAAGATACCTCGATAACCACTTAAGCAAAATCGATGAATTTTTCTTTATTTTAATTTTACCAATCCATATATTTTAAATAAAAAAAATTCATTGATTTTGAATAGGTGGTTATCGAGATATCTTCGTTCAAAGTTTGGAAAATTTTAGACATCCATCAAAACAGAAGTTTATTCAAACTTTGAACGAAGGTATCTCGATAACAACTATTCAAAATCGATGAAAATTTTTTTATTTAAAATGTATGGATTGGTAGAATTAAAATAAAAAAATTCTATCGATTTTGCATAAGTGGTTATTGAGATATATTTGCTCAAAGTTAAAAAAATTTTTAGTTGACTATTAAAACAGATATTATGGTGAAGTTTTTTTCAAACTTTGAACAAAGGTATCTTGATTACTACTTATGCAAAATTGATAAATTTTTTTAATTTTAATTTTACCAATTCACACATTTTAAATAAAAAAAAATCATCAATTTTAAATAGATGTTTATAGAAATACTTTCATTCAAAGTTTAAAAAACTTAATCATAATTTCTATTTTGTTAGTTGTCTAAAATTTTTCCAAACTTTGAATAAATATATCTCATAACTACTTATTCAAAATTGATGAGAATTTTTTATTTAAATTCTATCAATTCATACTTTTAAATAAAAAAATTTTTATTGATTTTGAATAGTTGTTATTGAGATATCTTCATTTAAAGTTTGAATAAACTTTTGTTTTGATAGATGTTTAAAATTTTCTAAACTTTGAATGAAGATATCTTAATAACTACCAATTCAAAATCAATAAATTTATTTTTATTTAAAATGTATAAATTAGTAAAATCAAAATAAAGAAAAATTTATCAATTCTATAAGTAGTTATCAAAGTATTTTCATTCAAAGTTTAGAAAAATTTAATAATAATTATTTTTTATATATTCTGTTATATGATTATTAGATAAGTGTAAAAATTATATAACTAGTATATGTTTGTAAACCTAGTAAATTGCTACTAACACTGCAATACATAATCTAATTTTCTAATTCTAACTCTAACCTTAACAATAATATTAGCTATACAGTACTATTAAAGTTAATGCTAGTTATTTACAGTACAATAAGATAGTATTAGTAATACAAAACTTATGAAATTAATATACCTATACTTACTTTGTTGATATATTTGAATGTACTTCAAAATTTCATTACTTTGTTAATAACAAAACAAGTAATAATCATATGTTATATACAATACATTTATTAAGTATATGATATCTACTTATATATATATATATATATATATATATATATATATATATATATATATATCAGAGTATAAATCAAAAATAAAGTAAAACCTGAGTTAAAAGTAACTCTAAATAAATAAAATCTGTATCAAAAATCTTTTTGCTTATGGCTCAGATTTTATCTTATAATAAAATAATTACATATAAAATATATAATACATATTTATATAAACAAATAAATAATTTAATAAAGTTCTTTTATTTTTTATTTAATAAAGATTAAAGTAAAATATAAACAAAATAAGAGCAAATAGTATAAAACTTTACCTTTAAATTGTATATTTTAATTTTTTAAAATACTTTTTTTTTTTTTTTTTTTTTTTTTTTTTTATTATAATGTCAGTATAGAAAAAAATAATTTTAGTACAATTTAAGTATCAAGATGATACTATTTATAACTAAAGTTTTTCTATTTGTATCTATGTTTCTCTAAAAGTCATCAGATATGACACTATATTTCCTATTTTCTATATATATCTAATTTAAATAATTGCTATTATTACTATTAGAAATAGAGAGGTTGGAAAAAACCTTTTTGGTAAAAATAAGAATAAGAAAGATTATGAGATGCATGAAAAAAGTGAGTAATTTTGTAAGAACTATCTTGTAATATAGGTATCTATGTTAGTTTGACATTGAGTTTGTGTAGAAGTTTTTAGGAGTAAAGGTTAGTAAGTTGTAGGTTTTGTTTTTTTTAGTTAGTTTTGTGATATTCTGAGAAGCTTCTCATGTATGCTAGTATTAGTTTCTTAGTTGCTAGATATCTGAATAGAACTAGTTTAAAGTGTTGTTTGCAAGTTTGGTAAAGAAGTTTGTAGTTAATTTGTGTAAAAAGTTGTTGTGGAATAGTTCTTTGGATTATATAGAGGAATAGGTTTGGAATTGAAGTTTGAGAGGAATTGTTATAAGCCATGAATATTAAGATAATAGTTTATACAAAGTAGTTTGTAATATTTAGAGATATGTTGGTTTGGATAATTTGGTAACAAAGTATGGAGAGTAAGTTTGTTTTAGTTTATTGCATTGGAGGAGATGGAGTGTATTTTCTTTTTGGTTGTAGCGAGTGCAATTTGGTGTGAGATATAAATGAGGTTGTCTAATATTTAGGTTGTCCATTGTTGAGAGATTGTTTAAGAGAGTTTTGAGACAAAAAGAGTAAAGATTAGTATTAGATAAAAGTGAGTTGAGGATAGAGAAGTTTAGTTAGAAATTGATTAGTGGTAAGTTTCGATATGTTTTTAGTTGATTTATATTATTAAGAGTTTAAATAAAGTAGAGTGATTTGTTAAATTGACGTAATTTAAGAGAGATAAGATTGTTGTTCTAGGAAAAGAAGGGAGGTGAGGTAAAATATTGAAGGTTAATTTTAAGTGGTGGTTTGTTTGTTCCTTTTTTTGCGAGTTTGTCTGCTATGTTGTGAAAAGTATTTTTGGAGTAAGATTTAATTTTGTAGAAAGTATAAGAAATGTTTTTAGAGTTAATTAGAGAGTTTATGATGTGAATTATGTCCCAGTTGAGTTGTTTGATTTGAGTATTGTTATTATATAGAAGATTTTTAAGTATTTGTTTTTTTTTTGTTATTAAGGCGGCTTACATTGCTGAAGGAATTTTATTAGAATTGCATACGGGATATACATTGATAG